TAATCCTGAAGGTTATTAGAAAGTGGTCAGAGAGGACAGGGTTGTGAGGAAATACTGTTATTTCTTCACATTCTATGCCGTATGTCAGCACAAGATCCAAAGTATGAAGATGAGAATGCGTGGGACTATTCACATTTTGAACAAAGCCAATAGTGTCTAAGATAGCATTAAAGGCTGCTCTTAAGCTATCGCCTTCAATGTCAGCATGGATGTTAAAATCTCCCACTATGATGACCCTGTCAGTATTTAATACCAAATCAGAAAGGAACTCTGAAAACTCATCTAAAAATTCAGAGTAAGGACCTGGTGGACGATACAAAGTTACAAAAAGAAGAGGTTTTCTTGCCTTGAAATTTGGATCAGGGAAATTAAGGGTTAAATGTTCAAAAGAGTTGTAGGAATTAATTGTTTTGGGAGTAATCAGTAAGTCAGACTCGAAGATTGTTGCTACTCCTCCTCCTCGCCCAGAACTTCTGGGGATGTGAAAATTTAAATAGCTTGAAGGAGTTGCCTCATTTATGCTCACATAATCCTCTTGCTGCAGCCAGGTTTCTGTAAGGCAAAACAAGTCAATGTGATTATCACAAATCAAGTCATTAACTAGTAGACTTTTAGAGGAAAGCGATCTTATGTTAAACAGACCGCATTTAATTGTTTTAACTTTTTCCCCAATTGGAGTTATTTTGATTTTAATTAGATTATCATGATTTACTCCTTTGGGAATCTTTGCTAATTTATTAGATTTTGGTCGTGGGCAAGACACTGTCTGGATGGAGTAAAGAGTGGGTAACAGTAGAGAAGCTGCAGAGATGTGTGTTAAACTACAACTCTGCTTCCTGGTCTGCACCCTGGGTGGTCAGGGTTTTGGAGGACTAATAAATGTGGCCAGATTCCTAGAAAGAAGAGCTGCACCATCCAAAGTGGGATGGATGCCGTCTCTCCGAATCAGACCAGGCTTTCCCCAAAAGGATTGCCAATTATTAATGTAGCCCACGTTGTTTTCAGGGCACCACCTAGACAACCAGCGATTGAATGACGACATGCGGCTAAACATGTCATCACTGGTCAGATCAGGGAGGGGACCAGAGAAAATTACGGAGTCCGACATTTTTTTGGCAAACTTACACACCGAAGCAACACTAATTTTAGTGACCTCCGATCGGCGTAACCGGGTGTCATTACCACCAGCGTGAATAACAATCTTACTGTATTTAACCTTATCCTTAGCCAGTAGTTTCAGGTAGGATTTGATGTCGCCCGTTCTGGCCCCCGGCAAACATTTGACTATGGTCCCTGGTGTCTCTAATGCCACGTTTCTGACTATGGAGCTGCCAATCACCAGAGTGGGCTTCTCAGTGGGTGTGTCACTGAGTGGGGAAAACCGGTTAGAAACGTGAACGGGTTGGTGGTGACCAGTGGGCAGAGATCCACGACTACGCTTTCTGCGTACAGTTACCCAATCGCCTGGCTGCTCAGGCACTTTTGGAGGACAGCTACGTGGGGGGCCTACTTCAACAGCCTGAAGCCTGGATTCTAACTCTGACACCCTCGCCTCCAAAGCTACAAAAATACTACACTTATTACACATCCCATTATCACTAAAGGAGGCAGAGGAATAACTGAACATCTGACACAGAGAGCAGGAGAGAGGAGAGGAAGAAGGAAGAGTTGGAAAAGAGTCAAGGGAGGGAGAGAGAGAAGCCATAGCAATGCTAAGCTAGCGCTAGCCTAGGCTAGCTACTTCTTGCTATCAGAAATAAAACCGTGTGAAACTGACAAGTGCTCAGTAGAAAAGTGCAGCAGAAGGTGCTATGTTTTAAAGTAGTCAGTTAGAGTTACTTAGATACAGAGATATCACAGAGAAAATAACTTAACTTCAGATGGAGATCCTCTGAACAGCTGCACACTTAGTTGCACACTCAGTTAATCCAAACAGGAAGTGAACAGTCTCAATCACCACTATGTCACTAATCACTATGTTATGAAATAGTTTAGCCACCAACAGTGGCTAAACAGACTGTATTGTTCATGCGCGAACAGAATAACTTCTGGGTAGGCAATACTTTATATGTTTTTCTTACTTTTTTATTCTTTTGTCTTTTTCGGGCAGGGGGTTCCTTTGAATATTTTTGTATTTGGGTAGATATTGCATATTCTAAAAACAAAAAAACCACTTACTTACGTTACTGTGACTGCTCTTAGCATGTCCGATAAAGATGTCACGCAGTACAATGTAGAGAATGTAAAACGTATCCATTTCTTCTAGAAAAGTCTTCAATATTTTCTATGCGATGTGGTTTAGCATTCTTTAATGTTTTATGTATATAAATAAATGTTTTCAGTTATCACATAGTTTTCCGCGACCCGGCTCTTATTATTCTGTTCGCGCATGTGCAGGACAGGTCGTGTTTCCGGGACGGATCGGGTAATGACAGTGCCTGCTGCTAGCATGTTCTTTTGCTAAACGAATTAGCGTCTTATTCTTTCATTTCCAACTTTGAATTCCCCTCTCAGTTAGGAAAAATCCAAAGAAAAGCTGTGGAGAAAAAAGAAGCTGCTTATAGTCCGGAAAATACGGTAAACCAAATTAACACCTCTGGCTGCTAAAGGCCCAGAAACACATTTATTACAGAGTAAAATCTGAAATACCTTCAAATCGTTGGTTATAAAAGCAAGTAGACAGCATGTGGGGAAAAAAACAAACAGTTTAAAACAACAAAAAAACGGTCAGAGAAATTAGTTTTATGGGTTTCCTCAAAAATATTTCTGGTTTTCAGTTTGAAAAGTAACCATATGTTTATAGTAGTAGCCATTCAAAATTTCCCCACTTTCCTTTATGGGTCCTTGGATTTTCCTCGGCTGGTCCCCTACAATTCCTCTTTAAAAATCAATCTTTCTGTCATGATTTGTGGACATTAAGATCTAAAGAGAAGCGCCATCTCCTGGTCAGACCCTGTAATTCAGTGAAAGGGTGGAGTCAGAGTAAAAAAATATGCAATACAAAATATACACAATACGAAATATACACTTCAGTACACTTCAGTACGGAAGAGGATAAGGGCCACTGAAAAAAAAAAAAAGTTAACTGATTTTTAATTTTTTTTTCAGTTTAATATGGGAAAAAAGTCAGAATTCCGACTTTAATCTCAGAATTCTGACTTTTTTCTCAGAATTCTGACTTTTTTCTCAGAATTCTGACTTTAATCTCAGAATTCTGACTTTTTTCTCAGAATTCTGACTTTTATTGTCAGAATTCAGTAAGAATTCTGAGATAAAGTCAGAATTCTGAGAGTAAAGTCTGAATTTTGAGATTAAAGTCTGAATTCTGAGATTAAAGTCTGAATTCTGAGATTAAAGTCTGAATTCTGAGAATAAAGTCTGAATTCTGAGATTAAAGTCTGAATTCTGAGATTAAAGTCTGAATTCTGAGAATAAAGTCTGAATTCTGAGAATAAAGTCTGAATTCTGAGATTAAAGTCTGAATTCTGAGATTAAAGTCTGAATTCTGAGAATAAAGTCTGAATTCTGAGATTAAAGTCTGAATTCTGAGAGTAAAGTCTGAATTCTGAGATTAAAGTCTGAATTCTGAGAATACAGTCTGAATTCTGAGAATAAAGTCTGAATTCTGAGATTAAAGTCTGAATTCTGAGATTAAAGTCTGAATTCTGAGAATAAAGTCTGAATTCTGAGATTAAAGTCTGAATTCTGAGAGTAAAGTCTGAATTCTGAGATTAAAGTCTGAATTCTGAGAATACAGTCTGAATTCTGAGAAAAAAGTCAGAATTCTGAGATTAAAGTCTGAATTCTGAGATTAAAGTCTGAATTCTGAGATTAAAGTCTGAATTCTGAGAATAAAGTCTGAATTCTGAGATTAAAGTCTGAATTCTGAGATTAAAGTCTGAATTCTGAGATTAAAGTCTGAATTCTGAGAATACAGTCTGAATTCTGAGAAAAAAGTCAGAATTCTGAGATTAAAGTCTGAATTCTGAGATTAAAGTCTGACTTCTGAGATTAAAGTCTGAATTCTGAGATTAAAGTCTGAATTCTGAGATTAACGTCTGAATTCTGAGAATAAAGTCTGAATTCTGAGATTAAAGTCTGAATTCTGAGATTAACGTCTGAATTCTGAGATTAACGTCTGAATTCTGAGAATACAGTCTGAATTCTGAGAATACAGTCTGAATTCTGAGAATACAGTCTGAATTCTGAGATTAAAGTCTGAATTCTGAGAATACAGTCTGAATTCTGAGAATACAGTCTGAATTCTGAGATTAAAATCTGAATTCTGAGAATACAGTCTGAATTCTGAGATTAAAGTCTGAATTCTGAGAATACAGTCTGAATTCTGAGAATACAGTCTGAATTCTGAGAATACAGTCTGAATTCTGAGAATACAGTCTGAATTCTGAGATTAAAGTCTGAATTCTGAGAATAAAGTCTGAATTCTGACTTTTTTCCTATACTAAACTGAAAAAAAAATTTAAAAATCAATTAACTTTTTTTTTTTTCAGTGGCCCTAATCCTCTTCCTTTCTCCAGTGACTGGAGTTAGGGGGGGGGGGGGGGGGGGGGGGGGGGGGGGATTTTGCTGCCATTCAGCTTTTTACTTGGAAGGGGCCATTTTGAATGGCTGCTACTGTATAACAAATCAGCCTCCATCTCTGCTGTGTGTTTATCCGTAGAGCTTCTGTTACTTCCTGTTTACAGTTTAATATGTTTAAAGCTTTGTATTGACATTTCCTCACTGGTTTGCTTTCCGTTTGCACATCTGCTCTGGTTTTCTCTGGTTTCACGGGACGCGACCGTAAGTCTACGACACTGAGTGTTTTGATGTGGTAGCTTGTCCCGCTGGTGTCTGAGCTGTAGTCGTCCTTGTTTACCTGTTGCATGCGTTGTGTTCGCAGACGCCGCTCTCTGTGCTGGACAGAAAACGTCTTCTGTGTTTTCAACACGTCCAGCTTTGCTGCTTTTCTTTACGCTCCCTTCTGCTCTGTCCTCCAGCTATCCAAGGCTTCTCCCCCACGAGGAAAATCCGCAACTTCGAAGAAGCTCGAGGCCTGGACAGGATAAACGAGAGGATGCCGCCGCGCAAAGACGGCCAGCAGCCAGACGGGACCGCCATCAACAGCAATGCTCCCAGCAAGAACGGCACGGACGGATAAGCGGCGGAGAGGCGGCCCTCACCTGTCTGCACATGACCCATACTCTCTGTGTGTCTCTGTCTCTCTGTCTGCGCTGGACCCGCCCCTTCAGTGGATCAGAACCCCATGGAGGTCGCAGCGCTGCCTAAACACGCCCAACTCAAAGGAAACATGAAGGAGGAGACCGCTGCCGAGAAATCTCACCTTATTTATTCAAGATGATACATTATTACATTATTTAATAGCGCCAGATAAATAAAACTTACACTGAACTTATATAAAAAAGGTTTTTAAAGAGAAAACTTTTGATAAAGTGATAGAAATAGAAAGAGTCTTTGTTTTGTAGGAGTTTCAGCCAGTGTTAGATTTTTTATTCTTCTGACTTTTTAAAGAAGGAAAATACTGTAGGCTGAGCCTCCTGGGCCACCGTCCGTACAATTCAGCGCTCAGATGCATCAGTAGTGATTGCACCGTGTTTTAAAGATGTTAAAAAGACTCAAACGTTTTTAAAGCTGTTTTAAAGATTTCTGCTGCTTTTACAGCTTGTGGAACAGAAACAAAGGCTACGTTCACACTGCTGCCCTTAAAGCTGTAGTGGAGGATTTTCTCGAATAAAAAAAAAAAAGCACATGCACAACCCTGTTCCCGCTCCAGAGAGAGATCGCCTATTTAACACGTGTGAGAGCGTGCACAAGCCCATTTCTCCTCCTGCACGCTCCGTTTAAATGTTTCTTTTTGCATCGCTCGTACAAGCTGACTTTCCAAAAGAAGATTCGGTAACTGCTAAGTGAAAATTGGGACGAGCATGTAGGACGGCCTTACGTTAACATATCATCAGAATGATTGACAGTTAGGAGGACGAATTATTTAGATGATCCACCTGTAAATAAAACATCCTCCACTATACCTTTAATTAATTCCGTTTTTTTTTTTTTTTTTTGTGAAATCCGATTTTGTGCAGTCATTCGCATTTCCAAGTATATGCGACTTGTATGTGATCTCCTATGTGAACTGCGTTCATTCACCCCTTGCTCACACTGGCTCCGGTGACGTTACCGAGCCGACGGAGACCGCAACTCCCGCACACCCCCTCTCACACCGCCCTTTTGACTACGGTGCGGTGCGGCTCCGGCAACTCGCGAGAACAGAAGTTCCCTTGAGTTCACGTAACTTCACGCGATAACACGGCCCAAATAAGGATATTTGCGAGAGCTTGTTGCGGAGGGCTCCGGCACGCCGCAAGGATAGCTTTCTTGCTGAATTTTCTGCAGCGCCGGAGTGTCTCGGTAACCGCAGCCGGACAGCTCAGCAGCCGGTGAGAGAGTTTTACGTGTTTTTAATGACTTGGAATCACTGCGGCGTCGCACCCACCGCACCGCAACGGTAAGACCGGAGTCGTGTGAACCGGGGGTCAATATCCCATATGTGCAGTAGGGTACGCCGTGACGTCACAAGCAGCAAGAATGCTCTGTGTTTACGGAAATAAACATGGATGCTAGCGCTGGGGTACATCTCGCGATCTTTTATTTCATTCCCAACCTCAGCCAGAATATTAACAACACATGTTTGTTGTTTTTCTTCTTGCTGATACGTAGCAAACTGCAGCATAGCGACACTTGTCGATTATTAATGCCGTTCCGTTCGGATGAATGCGACCTGGCCGTTTAGAAAAGATCGGATTCATATCGGATTCGGCACCACACAGCCAAGTGTTCTGGGTCAGTTTGGAAAAAATCAGATCTGTGTTGTTCAGACAGCCATGAAAAGATCAGATACAGGTCGCATTTGGGCAAAAAAATTGGATTTGGGTCACTTTAGGCCGCTGTGTGAACGTAGCCAGAGAGAGAGCAGGACTTTGAACAGATAACAGGAAGGCCGATTGGGATACAGCAACATGGGTCGGATAAAAGCTGCTAAAGATGTTTAAAATCTTCAACCCTGTGAAACTAGATTAGAATCTCTGCCGGGAAGCTTCCTCACCTTCAGAAACTAGCCTCAGATATTCCCGGCTGGTGCATCTCTAGAAAGGGTAAAGGAAGGTTAAAAACACAAGTAGTAATGGAAACTCCGCGATATGAATGTAATTTTGATATAAATGATAATATTTTAATATGACAGAAACTCTTCCCAAAGATGAGGAGCTGGTTTCTGCTTCGTCCACAGAAACCAGTTCAGGTATTTTAGTTTATTAGCGACGTTGATATGAAGGATGTGACGTTAAAGTAAAAAGATGTTGGATACTTTGTGTGCAATCAGGGTGACCGTCCGCCATGTTTAATGAGCCCTTGATGGCAGCCAGAAGCGTTAATGGTTCATATGCAGCGTCAGAGGCTTCAGGATTCCCACCGCCGGCTGGAAACTCTTCCTCCTGCTCCGGTTTTACCGTCGGAGAAGAGAAACAGACGGGTTATAGGACATGAAGAACAAAAGGACGTCTTTGTTGGCCTGCGTGGACCTCAGCGCTGCTTCTTAGGAAATGTGTTTAAACACTAAAGCAAAGAGAAGTTTGGGGCTCTGCTTTGTTTCAGCGTTCTCATGTGGGTCATTCCGCTATGTTACTGACTCCTTTTAGCTGGTAGCCATGAATGTGGGAGAAGAACGGCGGCGCAGACACAATGGACTGAGTCACTCTGCTCAGCAGGGTGGATGCTATAAAAGGTACCGCCTCCACACTCACAGCTGTCTGTCAGAGCACAGCCTCCAGCATGGATCCCTCACAGGTACCATGTCCCTCCCAGACCTGCTTCCACTGAAGGCGACTGTAACGCTGCGCTCTGTTACCAGCAGGGGGGAGAAATAAGCTTTAAGGTTGGACGCTCTCCTTTTATCAAGGCGGGTTAAACCAGGCAGCAGTTCTCAGGTGTCCACACCTGGAAGATCCCTTCAGTCTGGAAAAGTCTGGAATCTGATCAGGAAGAAGGTGGAAAAATAGATGGAGCAAAAAAACTGAAGCTATTCCTTCCTTTTTTCCTTCCTTCCTTCCTTCCTTCCTTCCTTCCTTCCTTCCTTCCTTCCTTCCTTCCTTCCTTCCTTCCTTCCTTCCTTCCTTCCTTCCTCTATCCTTCCTTCCTCCCTCCCTCTTTCCTTCCTTCCTTCCTCCCTCCCTCTATCCTTCCTTCCTTCATTCATGAATTCCTTCCTTCCTTTCTTTATTCCTTCCTTCCTTCCTTCCTTTCTGTCTTCCTTCCCTTCCGTCTTTATTCCCTTCCTTCCTTCCTTCCTTCCTTCCTTCCTTCCTTCCTTCCTTCCTTCCTTCCTTCCTTCCTTCCTTCCTTCCTTCCTTCCTTCCTTCCTTCCTTCCTCTATCCTTCCTTCCTCCCTCCCTCTTTCCTTCCTTCCTTCCTCCCTCCCTCTATCCTTCCTTCCTTCATTCATGAATTCCTTCCTTCCTTTCTTTATTCCTTCCTTCCTTCCTTCCTTTCTGTCTTCCTTCCCTTCCGTCTTTATTCCCTTCCTTCCTTCCTTCCTTCCTTCCTTCCTTCCTTCCTTCCTTCCTTCCTTCCTTCCTTCCTTCCTTCCTTCCTTCCTTCCTTCCTTCCTCCCTCCCTCCCTTCCTTCCTTCCTTCCTTCCTTCCTTTCTCCCTCTATCCATTCCTTCCTTCCTTCCTTCCTCTATCCATTCCTTCCTTCCTTCCTCTATCCATTTCTTCCTTCCTTCCTTCCTTCCTTCCTTCCTTCCTCTATCCATTCCTTCCTTCCTTCCTTCCTCTATCCATTTCTTCCTTCCTTCCTCTATCCATTTCTTCCTTCCTTCCTCTCTCCCTCCCTGGTATTTCCTTCCTTCCTTCCTTCCTTCCTTCCTTCCTTCCTTCCTTCCTTCCTTCCTTCCTTCCTTCCTTCCTCCCTCCCTCCCTCCCTGGTATTTCCTTCCTTCCTCTATCCATTCCTTCCGTCCTTCCTTCCTTCCTTCCTCTCTCCCTCCCTGGTATTTCCTTCCTTCCTTTCTTCCTTCCTTCCTCCCTCCCTCCCTGGTATTTCCTTCCTTCCTTCCTTGTATTTCCAGGTTTAAAGTGAAGAAGCTGCCATTAATTAATTCAAAGGGATTCTTTGTATTTCTTCCTGGAAATCGAGCGGTCAGATGTAGAAGATGTATTTTCTGGCGTGTAGGAACCCTGCAGACCGACGGAGGCTTGCAGTCACGCAGCTTTTCACACTTTCAGTCTTTTAAACAGTTTTAGTTGGTTTGTTTTTGTGCCGCGTTCACCAGAAAACAAAGTATTTTTGGTTTGCATTCTTCTGTGATGTAGGAGACGATTTCCAGGGCGATCCCTGCAGTGTACCGACTGCTAACCACACGGCTAAGAATGTTAAAGCAGTCGAATCGTTAGTTAGCTGTAATAAAGGGTCAGGAACTGTATTGTGTTTGTCATGCAAAAGGCCATGAATGTGTTCAAGTAGATGTTTCTTTTTGGGGGAAATAAAATTGAATTTTAAACATTGACTGGTTGTGATCATGTTGGATGAAGGTGACGTCCAAACATCGCCTCCTGTCTGCCTCCACGCCGCTCTCCTGACCGCTCCATGGTGACAGGCGTGTTATTATGGACAGACTCAGGTCCTCCTCCTGGCGTTGATGAGAAAGTTCTCTGCATTGTCATCCAGGATGGTTTCAGGTTCAGGCTTCTGTTAGCGTCTCAGCAGGGTCAGTTTTTCTCATTACCATCAGCGTCGTGTCGTTAGCTGTCAGTCTGTCTTTCTACTGTTTAGAATCATTATTGAATCATTTATTTATCGCAGCATTATTTATTTAGCGTTAATCAGGAAAACAATGAAAATCATTTTCATTGGCATCACTGAGTCTGGGAGCGGCCATTTTTGCCCAAATCTAGTAGCCCCTCCCTCCTGCCATCTTCCAGCAGTGACGTCACCGTGCGGTTAGCCTAGCGCCATTCTCCCCGCTTTCCAAGCTAAATCAATGGGAACTACTAGACACATCTGCAATCAACAACAATTATTGAAGATTTCCAGAGGACTTCACCATTGAAATTCACCAGAGCTATAGTGAAACTGACAATGCCCACGTGCATGGCAGCTGGATGCTGGAATACATCGGGTAAAAGTGAACAAAAAAAGAGTTATTCCACCTTTCTGATTCCTGATCCTCCACGGACGGGTTGGTCGTTGGATCGCCAACTTGAAGAGGGAGGATTTGCCATCGAACTTCTGGCCAGAGAAAAAACCCGTAATATGTAGCCAACATTTGGAAGAAGAATGTTTTCAAGATGACTTGGATAATAGCGCGTTGTGACAAACACCAGATACAGCACTGGGACTCGATCAACAGCCGATACCGCACAGTGACGTCACTAACCAGTAGGTGGCAGTAGTGTTCTTTGACGAACATGGATGCCTCCAGTAAAGCACATTCAGATGGAAACTACTCTGAATTAAAAACACTGATCATTTATTGAACAGGATGGAATCATGTCAGATTTAAAGAACTTTCAGAAGTTTGAATTCTGAATATGAGCGACTTTTAGTTTAAAATAGTTTAATCCAACTTTCCTGCAGATGGACTGAGTAGAGGACCGGAAGTGCCGGGCTACTTGTTCCAGGACAAACGTTTCCCCCCCTGAGTAACTGCTCCAATAATAATAATACTTGAACTTTATTGATCTCACATTAGAGAATTTCACTCTCTATATTTAACCCCTCCCCTTGGGGGGCAGTGGGCTGCCATTGTGCGGCGCCAGGGGAGCAGTGTGGGGTTAAGGGTATTGCTCAGGTCTGTGGGGAACGAACCGGGTGCAACCTTCTCAGAGCAGTTCTTTGTTTTTCAGGAAAACATCCAGAACCTTCCAACAGAACCGTTCTCTAATAAAATAATGTAAATCTAGTTCATTTTTATTACTTCAGACCAAAATCCTCCAGTGTTTTACACTGCAAAACATTAAATCTGATAAGTATTTTTTCTTAAAATAAGTGAATTTCTTTTTCTTGAATTGAGGAAGTAGGTGAGACACTTTGCCGATGGAACAAGACAATTTAGATTTAAAATAAGAAAAAACAATTGCATTGTCTTATTTCAATTGCATAATATCTAATCATCTTATTTTAAGAGTAAAAATACAAATTCTATTGGCAGATCATCTCATTTACCTACTCTTAAGAGTTTATTTTTTACTTATTTCTATATTGTTTTTTCAGTGTAATTAGAGCAGCTCTTCCTTCTCAGATCCAGCGGTGCAGAGCCGCCAGCCTTCAGCTGACTTTTCTTTCTTCTCCAGTTTGGGTTTTAATCACAAACCTAATTCTCTTTTTTTAAATTTACATCCAGTTTTCTTACTTCTTTGAGCCGCTTCCATCCTAAAAAACACTGATTCCTGTTTCAGTTCCCAGACCTACTGGATCCCCTTCAGCTGATCTAAATCATCTACTGTAGATCACTACAGCTTATTTGATCCGAGTATTTCCTGTTTCTCATATATTTGTTTGATCTGATCGTTTACAGTTATCTAAATCTTCCTGTCATTAATAATGCCATTCATTTTCATAATCATTTTATTTTCAAATACTAAATACAAATATAAAAGCACAATGTTTAAAGATCCATCAGACTCATGTAAACAGGAAAATATTACAAAAATATGAAGCTTGTACTTTGTGTAAATAAAATATAATTATAAAACCTTTACAAACATTTTCACAGTGTTCTTATCAAAGACTTGGCCATTAGTGCAGCGTTTCTCAGAGCAGTGGTTGAAGGGTTTGGACCCAGAAATGATGCTGAAGCAGCTCTGAGCCGACGGCGTCGCCAAAGGATCCACTTTAAGGCCCCGTAGAAACGGACGCCTGGATCCGTAGCAGAAGCTGCACTTTAACAGCTTCCTGTTTGGGCTCAGGCCGTGCAGGAGAACATGCAGCAGATCATGGAGGCAGGAGTCCGCCAGCAGGACAGAGCCAGGGTCTCTGCTGCTCCTCAGACCTTCGGAGGAGGGACGGGCCTCAGAGCCTGGAGGAAAAAAACAGACAAAACCTGCGTTCATTTGCAATATTTAAATGTTTTACAGAAAGTTAAAATACCCAAACAGACAGCAGAGCAGGGGCGGAGCTAGATGGGGGGCCAGGGGTGGCCATGGTAATCCTTAGCCACCCCGGTGGCCATTTTTCCCCTCTAATACAGACGGTGACATTTTAATTTTTCATATGTTGACAGATAAGGGCTGGTTATCCTCCTGCAGCAGTGTGTCGCAGTTAGCAGGTATGATATGTTTGATTTATGCCCAATATTGAAGCGTTTTCTGCGCCATCTTATTCCACGCCACAACGCCAGAGGGACAATGAGGAACCAGCTGGGATTGTGGGCGTCCGTGTGTCGGTTTGACGAGCTTGATCGACATCTACAACCCCTCATCCAACGCCGGACGACGCACAGTTCACCCATGTTCCCCAAAGACTGGCTTTAGCGCTGGGTGTTTTGGCTTCGGGTGCAAACCAGCAAACCGTCGCTCAGAGCTACAAAACTAGCGTCCTGCACGGTGTCTGGGATATGTTAAGTTTATTCTTTACACATCATGTGCATTGTTACTTTATTAGCCAGATTAGAGAGAGTAGATGGCCTTCCTTCACATTGTGGATGTCACTGTGTGTACGGAGGTCAAGGGTTAAGAGTAGTAGTTAACTTGCTCCCGGGAAAAGAACCGAAAGGAAAGTCTAGAGGCGCAACTGCCTTCAAGGGGACATAACTTCCTCATTTTAACAGATAGTGTCCAAGGTGTGTGAGGCGTTGTGGATGGCGCTACAGCCAGAGTTTCTGCCATTAGGTACCAAACAGGAAATAGTGTAGAGTGAATGTAGAATTGGGGGGGGGGGGGGGGGTATATCTGCAACACACGCAGACCACCTGGTTTCTGAGCATAAACCAGCCTTTACTTGACAACAAAGACACTGTGGTTAATTATGCACATCAATGTACTAACATTAAAGATGAAAAGAATTCCAGCTCTTTTCAGAACTAGAACTTACGGAAGAGGATTAGGGCCACTGGAAAAAAAAAAAAAGTTAACTGATTTATTTTATTTCAGTATAGTATCGGAAAAAAGTCAGAATTCTGAGAAAAAAGTCAGAATTCTGACTAAATTCCGACAATAAAAAAAGTCAGAATTCTGACTTTAATCTCAGAATTCTGACTTTTTTCCCATGTTAAACTGAAATAAAATTTAAAAATCAGTTTACTTTTTTTTTTTTCCAGTGGCCCTAATCCTCTTCCGTAAGAACTAGATTTTTTTTATGGGGTAAAGAAGAAATTATGTCTTTGCAAGTCAGAAATAAATATTCACTTTAATAATAATCCATTCAATGTAGATATTAGAAGATCTAAATATTAATTTTTGTGCAGAACAATTATTGATAAAAGTATGTAAGTAATGACAACGATTAAGATGTTAACACAAGAACTCAAACTTAAAAGAATTTTGTCCACTAGACCTTTAATTTAGACAGCATTTAATGCAGTTTATTTGTTAATTTTAATTTTGGATCAGTGAAGATTGACCCTGAGGTTGTTTTGCCTATATATCCACTTTCAGCCTCCCCTCAGTATCCATTGGTTCCTACCTACCTGGCTACCCTCTGTTAGCATTTCCTGGCTACGCCTCTGCAGCAGAGGATTCATAAAATCCTGTACAGACATTAAAGTTGTGTTTGGGTTTCTGGATGTCTCTTTTTCTTTTCCCGTTCGGCTTTAAATGATTATTTATTTTATTTAATTTTTTTGTCCAGATGACTGACAGCACAGATGGAAAACTCCCTGAAGAAATGTGTGATTCAGTCTCCTGCCGCCCATTAGGAACCAGCCTGTTTATGGCTGCTGGTGCTGCCACCTAGTGGTCATTTTAATTCCTACCAGCAGGTCTAAACCAATGATCTGTATTTATTCGAAGGATTGCCGATTGCCCTAAAAAGGTGAAGCCACCATCCGCCATATTGGTACTCCCCACTCCCACAGAGACACACAGTAAAAATGCCTCCCTGTGCAGCATCTGGCTGCAAAAACCAGCAGCTCCACTGGTAATTTCCCAGTCAGTGGATGAACTAACCAATAAATCCATCTATAGCCGATGGATCCTATAGTATAGTCTGTAGACTAACATTAGTCTAGCTATCTCAGACTGACTGGAAGACCTTGAGTTAGACACTGACATTGGGTCTAAGTGGATGATGTCGTTTTTGGAGTGTTTGTTGGAAAAATTCATGTGCTGAAATATATTGCATTTTATATTCATGGAAAAAAGCAACTCAAGCATTTGACCCCTATATATGGGTTTATATATATATATATATATATATATATATATATATATATATATACACACACCATAATTGGTATGGTATATATAGTTACCATATCAATTTAATTAATCCATGTATAATTACATGTACGTCATCAGTTTTGCACTTTTGGCTCATCTGTATTATTCTGCTCCATTAACACATTCATTTTATTGTGATTGATTTGTATAATATGTTATATTACAAGATTTATAGACTTCATAATGGCTGCAATGTGATGGGCCGATTTTTATTCTAAGTTAAAGTTAATCTACTGATGCTATGAAACAGCCAGTCTGTGTCAAAGTGATGAATTTATTTTAATTTTAAAAGTGAAGTCCCCCTGAAAAAGAGAACATCTTCAATGTTCGACGCTGTAGCGCATTGATTGTTTACATTGCGACCGGTCTAATTAGGGAGTACCAATATGGCGGCCGGTGGCTTCACTCCACCCTTTACTACCAACGGGCAATCAGCAATCCAGGGATAAATAGAGATCAGTTGTCCAAACAGCATCAGTGTGACCTTCATGTGCTCTGACCCGAGGGGGGGGGTTTACCTGGCGTGCAGCTAGGTAGTTCTGGCTCGGAGGTTTGGGTCGGTTCCCTGCTGCAGGTGGTGGAGGCGGAGCGCCTTTGGGCTTCGGTTTTGGTGCCTAAAAGTTGATGGACAGTTAGAAGCAGCAGGTCTACAGATGGAAGCAAGACCCGGTTCACCTTTACCTGTCTGAGAGGCATGGGCTGACCAATGTTGGCCTTCTGGTTGGTTCTGGGAGCAGAGCTGCGGGCCACTGGAGGCTCCCTGGGGGCCGATAAACTGTCAACACAGGGTTCAGTCATCATCATCACAGCAGTGCAAATATAAACCATCTGATGGGTGGAGGCTGCTTACGTTGGCAGAGAGGGAGCCTGTTTCTTCTTCTTGCACATGAATCCAACCACACCAAACACCAGACCCAGGACCACCAGGATGACAGCCAGGGACACTGCAACCTTCGCCCCTGCAGGGATCGGTTCAAAATGACTCCAGCTGCGGCGCAGCAGTAACAAGCGAAGGTCCAAATCCGCCCAGAGGCGGTTCTTACCGGTGGAGAGCGAGCTGAAAGCTTCATCCTGAGCTCCGCAGTTAGGAGGCAGCCAGCCAGGCGTGCACTGACACTCACTCCTGTGATTGCACACCTGCACAACAAGCATTAAGAAATAAAAAAAAAAATGAGACAAAAGCATCACGTCCTCCTACTAAAAAAAATTTATTTTGTTTATTTATTTCTTTAGGTTTCACCTTGATTAGATTTTTCTTAGTGACGATTATTTAAATTTAATCTATGATTTAATGCAGAATAGAAATCCTCCCTTCATGCATTAACATCAGTTTTCTTGGAGCTGGTAAACTTCAGGCATGCAGATTGTTTTACGTCCCATCTACACAGGGGGGGGATTGAACATTATTCAATACTAGGCAGCTGCCTAGGGCCCCTATTTCCTGGGGGCCCAATAAAACTGTTTAAATTGTGGTTAATACAACTATTCCTTATTTATAAACATTAATTATGTTTTTGATAAAAGACCTTTGGCTAAAATGCCATCAGAACGCTGATAATATTAAGTGTGTCTCAGCCCCCCCCTTCAGCGTCCACCATATTGGATCAGTCCATTTGCTGCACATGTTCAGAAAGGTCCAAACAGACAGCAGCAAACCATTTGAAAACAAACCATGCAAAGAGCAGTGTTGCCAACTTAGCGCTTTAGTCGCTATATTTAGCCACTTTTCAGACCCCTCTAGCACTTTGATTTCTAAAAAGCTCCTAGCGCCAAATCTAGAGACTTTTTTCTGCTACTGGAGACTTTGGAGACAACATCTAAAAGCAGCGAACTCTGCTCTCCAGAGCGAGTAGATTGGTAACCCCGCCTCCTGCTCTCCTCTATCTTGTCTGCTGTCATGATTCATGCAGCTATTATTTCATCCAAATGAAAAATGGAGAACAGATAAGCAGATCATGGCTTGTCTACAGTGAAAAGAAGGACTGGGTTATTTACTTTGGCCTTTTTGGAAACACAGGAAGGAGCAATCAGCTAAGTGAGCTTAGTGCTTGGAAAAAAATCTTTCATTCCTTTAGAGACAGCATGAAAAGTCAGCTGAGTACAAAACATAGAGAGGAAAACAAGAAGAAAAGGGACAAGAAGAGAGGGACACAACCTAGAACAGATAATGGATGTCTATTCTATTAACATTTCTCTATCTGTAGAATGGGGCTGTTTGATGGGTTGTTTTCTCCCTTCAGAGGCCCCCTGCCTGTCTTTGCCTAGGGCCCCACATTTCCTAAATCCGCCCCTGCTTTTAGAAACTAAGGACTTTAGAGGAGCCGTCAGGTGTCCATGTACTCACAGCGTTCCCTGGGCATTTGGCTGAACAGTTGGTGTTCCTGTACGCAGCTTCAACATCCATGCATTGATTCTGGCTGCAAACCTTCGAACAAACAAATCAAGCCTTCAGAGCTGCTGCGTTCACTGCGTCATTCATCTGAAAACATGAACCCCTGGATGGAGACGAGAAAGTACCTTCCCCTCTCCACAGACGGTGCCTTCCTCCACCTGCCCGTAGTCTTTGGTGTAGTCCTGAAAGAAAGCCGCCTTGCAGCTCCCGATTGAGACCATTTGGCTGTAGATAGGGTTGGGATTGCCGCCGCTGCAGAAAAGCTTCCCGCAGAAAAAATCTCTGCATAACAAAGAAGAATTCATGTCATCCAGATCATCCAGTCAGATTGATTCAAAGTTTTCTATCTAAGGAAAACCAGCTGATTGCATCGACTCATTGACTCTTCAGCAATCCCTCACACTAAGCATGCTTGTAGCGACAGTGGAGAGGAAAAACTCCCTTTGAACAGGAAGAAACCTCCAGCAGAACCTCCAGATCAGCTCAGACTTTTAATAAAAGCCAAATGGATTGATTTGATTTTCTGTATTTCCTGTAAAGACTCGGTGGATGAAGGATTTACGAGACGATCCAGCGTTTAGGTGCATCTCTAGCTTCCTTGAATGAACGTGACGGAAGTTTCTGCTGCCGATTCATTTGTTGGCCGAAACATTTTATTTTATTTTTTTTTTACTTTTTAGAAAAGAAAGAAAAAGTTAATTCTTAGGATTTGGCTGCAGATCACCATCAGAACCAGTCAGACGGGATTAAGTAGTGATGGGTTAATGAGGCATCATTGCCAAACGTATTGATCCTTTATTGACATTGAATACTGACAACTGCTGGACAGTTATAGACACTACAGGCAGCTTGTTTGACACATTAAACTGATTTGATGCTCTAGTACAATGATATGATTTAAATTATTGTAGGTAATATTGTATTATTTCATATATCTATGTTTCAGTTGAAAATATCTTTGATATTTTTAGCTGCAGCCAATAAATAATGTAAACATTTATCATAAGGTGAAAATTTAGGGGAAAATGTGAATGAGGATGCTTGTGAAATAGGATTTTAAATCATATTTTTACAGTAAATAAACAAAGAGTCAATTTGAAATGAACTTTAATTCCTATAAGTTGAGTAATTACTGAAGAAAAGTTTGACACAACCAGAAAATTTAAATAAAAACAGAGCGTCTGAAACTTTCCTATTCCTTTTAGTTTCCAAAATCTTGATCATTTTCATGATAAACAGCAAAAGATGAGACATTTCTTTTAGCAGATGCATCATGTTGACAGATACGATTTAAAACACAGTTTAGTGAGTCAGTCAGTTAGAAACAACTCCTGTAACGGTCACATGACTTTCTGGAAACAACAGGCGCACCGATCCAGTGTTTTAGGGCTTCATGCATGCAGCGATGCATCAGTGTTGCTGGAGCGATCGCTAGGATTAAGGGAAATTCTGCAACTCTGTGCTGCTTTTCCTTTACGAGAAGTTATAGTTTTATATCAAATAGTGCAGCACCAAGCATATTATTTCTACTTTATCTAAAAATAAATAAAACCTGAATAAAAAACAGGTTGTTTTTAACCCTGAACTGATCAGCTAAATCAGATGATCTACCAATGATGGTGTGCCTGGCTGTGTGGGTGAATCAGTCTGACTGGATGATGTTGTGAACTGTGAAGCGCCGTGAGATGACGTGTGCTGTGAATTGGCGCTATTGAAATACATTGAACTGAATTGAATTATTTAGAAGTTATTCAGAGAGGAACATTTGCAGGATAATATTTCAATATCTAAAAATTACACATTTGTAAAATAGAATTTAATTCCTGAATCATTCTGGTCCACACTCCATACTAGTAGATGGCGGAAATAATTCAATCTGTTGTTTGTCAACCGCCAAAAACTCTAAACAAGAAGAAGAAGGAGAGACTCACTGGGGCTGGCAGGGGATGAACTGGGAGTCTGACAGCCGTCTGCAGTAGCCATAGTTGGTTCCTCTGCCATTGTTGTTGTAGCAGGATGGAGACGCCTCGCTGGCAGCTGATCAGAGAACAAAACCAGTTATACAGCTGATCCTTTGCTCACTTCACCATGTCTCCTAGATCTAACCATAGACATCATATACGTAGACGCCTCATTGGACGCTGGCCGGCATGCCTAGAGGGCAGCCATCTTGGATCAGACCACAGTTCAGACAGCTGCTGTCAGAACAGGAGGCGCCTTAGATCTCATTTTAGTCACATGAAAGAGATAATATAACAATAATCTCTGACATGTCGCCCCTTTAAAGACCAAAACTAATTCCAATAAATATATATATATATAGTATATGACACACATTGACTGATTAAAGAACAAATGTTCACATATGCATAAATAATGTTTAAAAAAACATGGTTTGAAAAAGTTGGAAGAAGTTTAGACAAACTTATAAGGACAAAAAGCATTTAGTTAGACACAACTTATATTTACCACCCACTACGATTATACAAAACAGTTTGACAATGATAAAAAATTAACATAAAATAATTTTAAAAGACTAGATAACTTTACTTTCTTTTTGTAAATCATATATTAACATATGTTCCTCTATAGATCATAACACTCATTATCAAAGACCTTAAAAATACTGAGTCATAAGAATATACTATATGTTATAAAATAATAATATAAAACTTTGTGTCGATCATATTAGTATTTAATTGCAAAATATATAATTTGCATGTATTTCATCCAGTTTGAGTTCAGTTTAAATAGTTTTAATCTGAATAAATATGTTTGATCTATTTTTAAAATTAGCTTTGGTTTTTTAAGGGGCGACATGTCAGAGATTATTGTAATATTATCTCTTTCATGAGATCCAAGGCGCCTCCTGTTCATTCTAACAGCAGCTGTCTGAACTGTGGTCTGATCCAAGATGGCCGTCTATATGACGTCTATGGATCCAACAGGAAGAAAGCCAAAGGCCTACTGTTGCCGTAGAGTTTGAGGCACTGGGTTGACCTCTGTGGACACTGGCCGTTGTAGCAGTAACCCAGACCCTTGTTACACGGCAGGCCGTTGACGGCGAACACATCCTCAGGACAGGTGGCGCTCTTCCCGTTGCAGTACTCTGCCAGGTCACAGTCATCCTGCTTGGGGCGGCACTCCCTGGACCGAGGCTGGATCTGTGAGGAGCAGATGGAATGACATCACTCAGAGGTCAAATCGCCCAATCAGGGAGAGCTTCTGTGTTTCACCTCTAGTTTTAATGTGTGAGTCGTTCCTAATAAGTTAAATGTTTTCCTTATCATGTCTTTATAACTTTAAATGGAGGATCAGTTCCTCCTAACATCACTGAGCAAAGGAGGGAAAAACCTGCAGCTAAAATTTGATATAAAGAGTAAAAAAAAAACCTGCTCCATATCTTCATTTCCCACAAAAAGGACAAATCAATTCTCCTTTTACAGAATTTGATGCTCAGAGTGAGACCAGAAGGAGCCCAGTAGGGGGCGGTGGTGCTCCAGGCAGGCCGTGCATTGAGTGAAGATTGGCTCACCTGACAGTCAGCACAGCATTCTCCCTCCGCGCACTGGGAGCCTGCTGACAGCGTGCATGTGGTGGCGTTGCAGCAGGGGTTGGTGCACTCCTGTAAAGACAGCGATGGGGTTAAATTAGCCGCTCCGTCTCATCTCAAACCTCCTCTTCCTTCCTGTCTGCATCCAGAAACATCAGTGATGCATTTTGCAAAGTTTTCAGCTTTTAAGACAAATGAGTTGGTTTAAGATCCTGGTGAAAAGCGAGCGGCTTGTAGCGACAGTGGAGGGGAAAAAGTCCCTTTGAACAGGAAGAAACCTCCAGCAGAACCAGGCTCAGTGTGAGCGGCCATCTGCTGAGGCCCACTGGGGTTCAAGGAGACAGAAGCAGACATAGAAAAAGAAGCATAGATACAAAAGGCAACTGTCAACCAGCTCCACAGGCGGCCCCGTCCAGGAAACACACAGCCAGGCAGACGAGCTCCGAGCCAGCTCCCATGTCAGAGGATGAAGAGAGCACATCCAGTTAGTCACAGTCAGAGAAACAGGACTACACTGGAAAACAGGCCAAGCTCCAACATCTAGAAACAAAGGTGTTGATGGCAGCAGCACAGCTGATATTTCTCTCCAGGATGGAGTCACAGCCAAACAGGAACAGACCAGATGAAGCTACTATGAGAAAAAGCAGAGAGAGCAGAACGTTAGAGATTGAACTAACAGATTCTGCAGAGTGGGAGAATAGAGATAGAATGAAGCAGAATGATGAAAAAGGGGTCCCTATGTCCTCCAGCAGTCTAAGCCTATAGCAGCAGAACTATAGAGATAGCTCAGGATAACCTGAGCCACTCTAACTAGAAGCTTTATCAAAAAGGAAAGTTTTAAGCCTAGCCTTAAAAGTGGTATGAAGGGGGCTTAAACTTTCCAGGGGGGGTTCAGGAATACTCAGATTATCTTGGACATGAGTAAAATATCAGTTAATCTGAAAAGAGAGAAAGTTGAGGACATTCAGCGCTGTGAAACTCCTTGTATAAACATGATAAATAAAGTAACTCATAGTTCACTAATACTCCAGTCGTTCACAAAGGAGAGCATAAATAATCATCATCAATACTGTAGAGAAAACAAGTGAAGGATTAATAATCTGCTGCCGCTGCAGCAGAACCTTCTATACCTACTGCAGCGACTCCCAGCAGAGCAGCAGACAGGTCCATGCAGGACGCAGAACGGAATGTCCTACATGTTACAGGAGTTATCAGCTGCTTTAGGACAGTTTGTTCAGACGTGTGCTGCGTAATTCATCTGAAAACATCTGGATGGTTTTAAAACAGGAACATGTGGGAGTTTCTCAGAAAGGTTCCCTCTGATGATCCTTCAGCCTCCAGAGGAGGCGAGTCTCCGTTTATAACATTTAAAGGAAGACCAGTCTGGAGCGCTGGTGTTCTGTCAGACCAGCATACCCAGGGTCAATACCCAAGACGTCAGATTTTATTCCTTTAGTTTTGTATGAAAAATAAACTTTAAACTACCTCAACGGGCATATATATCCCTTTAGTCAAAATGTACAAAAAAATATATATTAGTTGAGGGCCCAATATCAATGTCTTTCATGGGGCCCTATATTCCTGGCGGCCCTGCTGCCCTTCAGGATCAATCAAAGATATTTTTTAATGTATTTACTATGAGGCTATCCTGTAGTTCTGTTTGAGACTCTTATTTTGAAGTCTGACAGGAAATTCTGGAGCTGCCCTGTTGTGAAATCATGGGCAGAAATCAGAAAGTCTCCTCCTGCTGATTGAGGAAACCCAACGGCAGACGAACCATGATTCCTCGTCCAAATTCAAACCGTTTGTTTGGAAGATTTTTACTTCAGGAAATAAAATAAAAGTGACAGAGTGAGAAAACAGGTTATTATAAGCAGTTAAACGCATCATTGGATCCCTACAGGAATCTTTCCTTGTGTAAATCACCAATAATGTTCAGCAGAGTGCACTGGAAAAACAATCTAAAAATAGGTAAAAATTTCTTAAATCAAATGTATTTAACCTTAATTTGAGCAGGTAAATGAGATAATTTGCCAATGGAATGAGTATTTTTACTCTTAAAATAAGATAATTAGATAATATGCACTTGAAATAAGACAATGCATTTGTTTTTTCTTATTTTAAGTGGAAATTGTCTTGTTCCACTAGCGAAATGTTTCTTTTACCTCCTCAATCCAAGAACAAATGCACTTATTTAAAGAAAAAATGACTTATCTAGATTTTACGGAACAGGATTAGGGCCACTGAACTATTTTTTTTTATTTTATTTCAGTATAGTATGGGGAAAAAGTCAGAATTCTGACTTTTTTCTCAGAATTCTGAGATTAAAGTCAGAATTCTGACTTTTTTCTCAGAATTCTGACTTTTTTATTGTCAGAATTCAGTCAGAATTCTGAGAAAAAAGTCAGAATTCTGACTTTTTTCCCATGTTAAACTGAAATAAAATTTAAAAATCAGTTAACTTTTTTTTTTTTTTTCAGTGGCCCTAATCCTCTTCCGTAAGATTTAGATTTGTTCCAGTGTGTATATTAAAATAAACAGGCTGTCAGTGAAAGCTCCTTCTGTATAACTGCTAGGATTATAAAATCCAGTGGTTTAGTATCGCCTCTATATATAAATCCATTAGCATAAACACAATGATGACAAAGGCCTTTTGATAAGCAGGAAATCATTTCCGTAAAGCCGTGTTTGCTTTTCTCTACCTGCACAGTGCCGCAGTCGCACTGCTCGCCTTTTTCCTTGAAGCCGTTCCCACAGACGGCAGGAGCTTCGATCCTCATGTAGTCGGGTTTGTCGAACAGACAGCTGGGGCTGCGGGTTGTCAGGTATCTTTCATAGTTGCTGCTGCTGCAGCTGCTGAACGACCGCGGGATGTTCCAGCTGCCAAACGACAGATCAGCTGCATTAGTAGAGCCTTTACTGCTCACTCAGGCAATACATTCATCCGTTTGATTTCTTTTTGGGATTAGATCAGTCATTAGATCAGTTTAATGTGATAAGTGGACCCAGAGGATCTGGTTCTGAACCCTGAGCACATCCATTGACCCCGACGCACCAACACTGATTGACGATCAGACGAAGTACGCTCGCTAAACATGAGGAGGGCATCAAACACGCTTTAGATACAAAAACAGGATAGCAACTAACATGCCTTAAAAAGTCTAAATAAAGCCTGGGACATGTAGCCTGAAATGTAAGACAACCATATTAGCAGTTTATTAGCAAATAAAAAGGTCAATTTTGGGGTGAGTTGCCCTTTAAAGGTCCCCAGGAAGGCTGAAGTGCATTCAAAATGCAGGATTTTAGGATGGATTAAAGCCTAATCTGGATGATGCTAAAGCTAACACTGATACTAAAAACATGGTGAGAGATTTCTGAAACCTTCTGTTGGTGAAAAATAAAGAGATGTCGAACCTCCGATATTGATTGATCCTTTAAATTAAGGGATAAGTCTGAATTATTCCAGTAACATTCTTTGACTGACTGTTGACCTTCAGCTTTTCCACCCGATGATCTTTACTCTCTTTTCAACAAATTATTCTGCAAAATGTTTTATTCAAAACAGACAAAGGCCTTCAGGTAATGATCCTTTCCTCTTGTAAAGTGGTATTACCGGCACATTTCATTCACATGCTTTTATTGTGGTAGAGAAGAACCACATGTTGGATCCAAAGATATTCCTGACCTGCTACTTGGACAGTAAAAGACTTCCTGGTTCATCTGCTACAGGTTGATGCATTAAATGCATCGATTGTTTGCCAGCAGGCATCTGATAACATCAAACAATAAAGGTAAATGTGGTCCGGTAAATAATTACCGGACCACATAAAGGCAGCATTGGTAAAATGACATCAGCGGATTAAACAGGTAGAGGACTGCAGGTAAACACGGCCATCTTTGACAGAATCTCCATCTGACCTGATTTAACAAACGCCTTTAGACTGAGACGTTCGGGCCCCTCCCTTACCTGAGGGCTGCAGCCATGATGCAGCTGTCCCCGGAACAAATGCAGGCACTGGAGTCGTCATGGCTCATGCCCAGGTTGTGGCCCATCTCGTGGGCTAGAGTAGCTCCCACTGCGATGGCTCGGTCATTGTGATCCTGAAGCAGATGTCAGATTTTCTTTCTGTTTAATCCATATTTAACACCCAGATTAAACAATCACTTCTGCTGACAGTTAGCGCCGTTAGCTCCAGTTCACCTGTACTACCCCGACTGAGTGGTCGGTGCAGAGGGTCCCAATGAAAGCCAGACCCACAGTGGAACCTTCAAAGTCGATCCCACTGAAAGACAGGAAGAGACATTTGTCTGTTAAAAGAATATTCAGAATTCAAACTTCTAAAAGTGCTTAAAATCTGAAATTATTCCACCCTGTTCAATAAATGATCAGTGTTTTTAATTCAGAGTAATTTTCATGTGAATGTGCTTTACTGGAGGCATCCATGTTTGTCAAAGAACACTACTGCCACCTACTGGTTAGTGACATTGTCACGGTGCGGTATCGGCTGTTGATCAAGTCCCAGTGCTGTATCTGGTGTTTGTCACAACGCGCTATTATCCAAGTCATCTTGAAAACATTCTTCTTCCAAATGTTGGCTACATATTACGGGTTTTTTCTCTGGCCAGAAGTTCGATGGCGAATCCTCCCTCTTCAAGTTGGCGATCCAACGACCAACCCGTCCGTGGAGGATCAGGAATCAGAAAGGTGAAATAACTCTTTTTTTTCCACTTTTACCCGATGTATTCCAGCATCCAGCTGCCATGCACGTGGGCATTGTCAGTTTCACTATAGCTCTGGTGAATTTCAATGGTGAAGTCCTCTGGAAATCTTCAATAATTGTTGTTGATTGCAGATGTGCCTAGTATTTCCCATTGATTTAGCTTGTAAAGCGGGGAGAATGGCGCTAGGCTTACCGCACCGTGACGTCACTGCTGGAAGATGGCAGGAGGGAGGGGCTACTAGATTTGGGCAAAAATGGCCGCTTCCAGACTCAGTGATCGCCACGAAAGTGTAGTTTTTTTTCTGATTAACACTAAATTAATTAAATCAGTGACGGATGTTACTGCATCCATGATGTCTACAGGCACAGCGTGTACCAACGGAGCTTCATCTGACCTGATGAGGTGTGCGTTGTCATGTTTGATCCTTTCCGCCAGGTTCGACTTCCTCCATTTCATGAAGGCGTCCAGGTTGGCCCCAGCAGGGTTGGTCACTGAGATTAAGTCGTTAGTGGACCAGACCTCCAGACCCACCAGAGCAATGAAGGTCCTTAAAGGTCTGTAGACCTGCAGATGACCAGAGACGGACAACAGCCTAAGAGACGTGGTTCAGTTCAGCAAATGTCAGACCATGAACTCAGACTCACCATGTTAACAAAGTTGGTGATTTCAAATATCCTCTGTCTCATCTTGGTCATATCTCTGTTCATCTTGTTAAACTGAAACAACATTTCGTCGCATTAAGAGCAAACTTACATCCTTTTTCTGTGCAGTAGTTTCATTTCCTAAATAGAAACCTGCACAAGTTTCAATGCACTGTAGTTAGAATATAGTGTTAGTGGGAGTTTGAAGAGGAAGTCCATAAATAGAGTCGCTGAATATTAGTTTGATTTTATGACTATGTTAGACATTAGTCATAAGCAAAGGTGTCAAAACCAATGTTTATTCCTCCAGTATAAATCCTGCTATTTAAAAACACTTTTATAGAAGTTAGAGGTTTTTACTCCGGTAAAAGTGTAAAAGTACAATTTTTAAAACTACTTTAAGTATAAAAGTAAAAGTAATGCAGGAAAAAAAACGTTAATGCCAGAAGCTTTACTGCTCTGCCCTATTAAAGGAACATTTTTCTACATTTCTGGATGATAACTTCCTTAGTATTTATTTTCAGTTTTATAAATAATGGTAACAGTGTCAAATTTAACTTTCAGTCATCTTAAAAAAACTTTATTTTGGTTTGTGGTGAGCAACAAGTTGGGGCAGCACCGAGTCCAACCACAAAAAAATTAACTGTCTGAATGAAACTAATTATTTTAATGTTTTTATCTTTATTAAATACCAACAGGCCAGAATGAAAATGAGCTGAAATGACACAAAACTAAAAAGTTGCTCTTTGCATGTTTTCTAAACTAAAACCAGGCTTTGTTGGGCTGCTGGATAAAACCTGGAACTAAACGCTATTTCTGACATTTTGAATTGAAAAAGCTTCCTGGATGGAAGAGAAACGTCTTCAAACTTGGAAACAAAGTCCAGTGGATTGATTTTTAAACTTTTTTGGAAAAACTAACGAGACTATTTTTAAAATATAAGGAGTAGAAGTAAAATGTTGTCTAAAAATAATTACGCCAGTAAAGTATAGAAAGTCAAAGTATTTGTACTTTGTTACTTGACACCTCTGGTAATAATTTAATGTAATGGGTTTAGTTTGTTAATGATGGACAAATGCATTTTATTTTATGCATTTCCACCACTTTATCTGAAAAAAGGATGTAAGAACATTAAAGTATCTTTTTATTTTATATCATTAACAGGGATTACAGGGGTTGTTTTGCAAAGAAGGATTTTATTAACCTAGTGAAGTTCTTACCGCTCGATTATCAGCTACGAGAGCGAGCTCGATGTATTTCTGCTGCCGAAGGACAGAAACACCCTGGAATGAATTTAAACAGA